GTGAACGGATGCAGCTCACGACTGGTCTCAAATTTCAAATTGGCTGCAGTTGTAACTCGAAGACAAATCATCCAATCGCTTTGATTTTTTTACTACTTATTTTATATATGTTTTTCTTTACAATAACCCTCCAGTTTTTTGATTTTATAAAAAAATGTAATTTTGGCGGGCCAAAAATCATCTAATTTTTTAGCAAAATTCGATTTGATAAAAAAACAGACCGATCTAAACGTTTACGCACCGACAAATTTGCAATAATATCCGAAATATGGAATCAATTTATACACAATAGCCAATGCTGTTATAAACCTTACGAAAATATTTCAATAGACGAACAACTATTTCCTAATAAAGTCCGTTACAAATTCCCCCAATATATGCCAAACGAGCCGCAAAAATTTGCCATAAAGTTTTGGTTGGCAGTAGATGTTCAATCTAAATATCTTCTAAATGGGTTCCCTTAGTTAGGGAAGGATGAATAGCGACCTTTAACACCTTCGTGCGAATTTGTCGTTTTAAAGTTAGTCGAACCATATCTTCATCAAGGAAGAAATATAACAGTGGATAATTTTTTCACTAGTATTCCTCTAGCCGAAAAATTAGTTGCAAAAAGAACCAGTTAAGTTGGAACTATTCGAGTCAACAAGAGAGAACTTCCAATGCAAGCAAAAATCAAAAAAGATAAAATGAAGTTGTATTCATCAAAACATTATAAGTAAAATTATATATAAAAGTAAGCTATATCTAAAGGTACTGTTATTAAGTACTAAACATACGTTTATAAAACTAAAAGACAATAAAAAATATACTTCGAAAATAATAACATATTACAATGAGACAAAGTTTGGAGTCGATGTAATAGACCAAATGGCGCACAAATATACCACCAAAGCAGCATCTTAGTGATTCAACATTTTAGATTTAGCGGCAATAAACGCATGGATCTTATACAAAGAATGTACTGAATCAAAATTATCCAGAAAGGAATTTCTATTTCAGTTGGCCAAAGAACTTGCAGAAGATGAAAAGAAAATTTACAAGAACATAGATTATAACAAAACGTCACCTAGTACTTCGCAAGAACGCAAGACTTGCCAAATTGGATTTTGTAAAAGAAACAGGAGCATTAACACCTGTAAAAAATACGAGAAGATTGTTTGTGGAAAGTGCACAAACAAAATTGAATATTTGTGTAAAAGATGCGCGGAATGAATGTAGAATATTGAAGTAACGGTACTTAATTATTATTGAATAATAACAATTTTTCATAAATATATATCCCATACTTTCATTTTTGTATTTCTAGTGTTTAATTATATTGCTTTCTAAGTGGTTGTTTTTCTCTAAGTATATGTATTCGTTCATGCATCAAATTGACGCGTGTTCGTAGAGATAGGTATATAAGAAATGATCGTAAACCTAGTGTTTCTCTTTCACTACACTACTTTAACCACCCGTACGGTTAATAGCAATTGATAATATACTTTCTATAACGAACTTTTATAAATTAAATACGTTATCACGTTCTCTTGGTCTTAAATACCGTCATAGAGGCGCGCCAAGTTTAAAGAGAATATATTTTTCTTTACATGCATAAATAGCAATGAGATTATTTTGAATAAAATATTTTTTATCATTTTCAAACAACAGACTTGTAATTTTTACAAAAAAAATTTCGGTCTCATACTTCTACACCTGGTAGTCCGGGATCTGGCACCAAGCGATTATCATGTTTTCCTTGCATTGCAAAACTTCCTTAGTGATAAGAAATTGGCATCAAAAGAAGACTGTGAAAATCGATTACCAGAGTTGAGTTGGTATGGTATACCCCATATATATGTTATAGGGAATATAGGACTGAGGGAGAAACAATATCTTGAATTCAAAGGAAATTCAATGCTCAAGTTACAGAGAAAATATGAAAATAGTCAAAATTTAGTTGGATAAAAGTACATATAAGACGTTGAGTTTATTATTCATTTTCACGATTCCTATTGGTAGATTTTTACTATCAAAAGAGATTATAGTAGAATTTTGATTTTTGTACATAATTCGTTCCAGAAATGTGTTCTATACCGAATGGATGGTCTAGGTTTGCTTTCTTCTTTTTTATTTAAATAATTTAAAAATAAATCAACATTTTTTTCAAATATTATCAAACTAAATGCAAATAATTATTTTGTTATCTATAAACTGTTAATCAATATAATACTTTAATTATGATTAAAATTTAATTTTTAAACAATACAATAATTTCATATACACACACACACAACTTTAATAGTAATAAATAATAATCATAATTATTCTTATTATTAAAAAATTTCATGCAAATTTTTTTTTATTCATAAATTTTAATTACTTTTTTTAACGATAAGAGTAATTATAATTATTATTTATTATTATTAAAGTTGTGTGTGTGTGTACATAAAATTATTGAATTGTATAAAAATTAAATTTTATTTGTAATTCGAGTACCATATGAATTAACAATTATTTTATATATACATATATAAGAAAAATTTGCTTTATATTTAAATTAATAATATTTGTAAATTGTTGACTTTTTAAAAATTACTTAACACTTTACAGACCGGCTGCTCAGCCACAGATACTCTGAAACGACCGCTGTTTTTCGGCCTACACTAACGCACGGGAGTATCTGTGAGTTTTATATGCTCAGAGAAAATTTTCCGCTTTCTGTTATTACAGGATAGCATAATTAAATTTAATAAAATGTTGATAACAACAATGCAACAAAAGCGATTGTTCGGTAAGCGTTGGTAAAAAAAGCCGATTAATAGGCGATCGGTCAGTAAAGTGTTAAAAAAAAAAAAAAAGAAGATATAATATACAGATGTAGGATCGAATCCTCATCAACCTATACCAACCGAGAACCGATTGATAAACAAAGACACTACGACTTAAGGTATTGAGCGCCAGTCGGTAAATAATTGAACTTTCTAGAATATAAACAAAGCGAAATTTTGAAAGCTATCTAAATTAAACTTTTGTTCATCGCCGATATAAACACATTTGGGACCGGTCACGAGTTAACTCGTGTTATGAAAAAAAAAAAAAAAAAGAATATATATATTCTTTTCTCTTTAAGAAATATTAAGAGTTGTGAATAATAAATAAAATTTATTAAAATTTATTTATATTGTTTTACTTCCACATCCGCTTTCAAAACAATAGCCAGCCACATGAGGTAAATTTTCAGAAAAGTTGCCGGGTCCCCAATGTGTTAATTCTTTTCACTTTTGTTTCTCCTACGAACGTGCTCACTACTAAACTTCAAACGTGCTTTTTTATGAGCTGCAGTTACACAGGACCGTTTGCTTCAATTTTCTTGGCTTTTTTAGTAAAATATGAAGCACGTTTCTTAAATTCGTATGCACGCCACTTTCTTCAATAATTTATCTCGCGTTACTCATTTAAAATTTGATGCAACTCATACAATTGCAAGTTTCTCTTGTTCAGTTACGGCACGAAATCTTCCATTTCTTTCTGGATTTTTCTTACTGGACTAATTTATTTAACACATTATTATATACTGCACAACAGCTTCTTTTTGTTCGTTATACTGATATCACTTCTGAATCACTTATGCGTTTTTTACTAATCCAATATCTATTAACACAAATAGTGAGAATGAATATTAAACTTGATATCTTATACTTTCATCCAACCAAATTTTGATTATTTTCACATTTTTCTCTGCAACTTCAGCACCGTATTTCCTTTGTACTCAAGATTTTGTATTGATATTCTGGAAGTTGTAGAGATATATATAGAGCATATAAAATGAATTTTTTGTTCTCTTCCGAATAAGTAAAGAAAAAAGTAAAAGTAAAGTAAATAAAGAGAAATGTAGGAAGTGAATAGAAGGGGAAAAAAAAGGGCATAGATGCGAGAACAATTTATGAGAATAATCATAGAGTTTCAATAGAATATGCTAAAAAGAATTTAAGAATTAGAAGAAAGACTAAAAGGGCAAGGAAAAGAAGAAAAAAAAAAAAGAATAATATAGTAATAAGAAGAATGAAGTGGAAGGAAAAGAAAGTTAAGAAGAAAGCAAAAGAATTTATAAAAGAAAATTTGTACTTAAACGTAAAGGTGTTGGAAACACACGTGAGAGTGAAAGAGAAGAAGAAGCTTAGTAATAGCTAAGATAAAAAAAATTAAGAAGCAAAGAGAGAAATCGGAAGAAATAAAAAATAAAATAGTACAATGATTTAACAAAAGAGAGAGGAGAAAAATATAGAAAATTATATGTAAAAAAAAAAATGAATAAGTTGGAAAAAATGTAAAAAAGATTAGGAAGAAAAAAAGGATACAAAACAAAATTCTTAGTAGAATAGAAGAGAAAAGAAAGATGGAGGCAACAGAAGAAAAGAAGAAAGAAAAATGAGGATATCAATTTTTTTTTATATAGTAGAAGTGTAGAAAGCAATATGTTACTGAGTAGTAAGATATAAGCTCGGAAGATATATTCCTAAAGTCTGTAAAAAATTATTATGTTTAAAGTAATTCTATTTACTGAACCAACAGGTTGTAAATTAAAATATTTTCTTTAAATATTATTTTTCATTATATAGCTCATCGGAGAAAATGATAATAATTTATTCTCGAGCAGAAAATATAAGCTGTAAACTAAACTATTTTATTGTTTCATAATGAAACCAAGAACAATAATAGTTTATTCTTGAGCAAAAAGTATAAGCTGTAAATTAGAATAAATGTTTATTTTTCATTGTATAGTTCATCCAAAAATGATAATAATTCTTCTTCAGCAAAAAGCATAGACTGTTAAAAGAATCGTCACTAGTAACTACGTCAAACAAAATGGCTGACAGAGAGACAACGTTGGATATAAAAAAAAAAAAAAAAACCATCTTCGACTGTCGTCGCAAACACATTTTAAGTAATTAACAAATCAATGTACAAATTTTGTCAATTTTACGATTATTAAGAAAAATAATATTTATATAATTTACCTTGTTTGATTGCTATAGCCTGTGGTATACATTTCTAATCTTCTAGAAAGCAACGGTTTTCTATATGCAACGTACAATTATCCTTTCGACTATTAAATCGATGTCAACTCTTGTTAGAAGTTCTATAAAATCGAGAAAAAATTACCTTATAACTAGATTTTAGTAATAATTTATAAAGATAATTAATAAATAATTATTTAAGGAAAATAATGATAGAGATAAAGAAAGGAAAAATTAGATATTTTTCCTAATAAGATAATTTTAAATCCGGTACGTACCTTTTCCAACCCGGCAAGCAGATGAACAATGGCTGACAGAACTTGGAAGACGGAAACTACTATCAAAGAACATTTCCGATCAACGCACGTCACAACTGCTACTACGCATTTACGCAATTTTGATTGGTTGGTTTACAGTGAGTCTACCATTTTAAATTGGTTAGCCAATGAGCGGACGAGAAAACAGATCGATCGATGAGTGGTAACCCTAGGAAAGCTATATCTGACATGCGCATTAATAGTGGGACTATTTTGCGACGGTATTCCTACGCCTTCATTGCTTTTACAAGTAACGTCAACGTATATATGTGGATTGGAGCATATTTTTTTTTTGTGAAACTAATTCGATGTTGGAAGTTCTTTTGTTTCATTTTTTTTTTAATTCGTAGTCATCATCGTTCATGTGCGGACAAGTGAATAAAAAAATGAGTATTTCGGATACAGTGAGAGTATTAACAGATGCTTGCGAACAATTTCGACACGATCTTCAAATAATTACCGATCAAACGGAAAAACAAAAACTAGTTCTACGCCATATAAAAACATTTGCTAATGCTGAAGCTTGTATAAAGGACTTCCAAAAAGGTTATCTTATTTTTTATACAAATTTTTTGTATTGTTATATTTGAAATAGTTATTTGATATTGGTATATTATAATATATCAAGGTGTGACATTAAAATAAAAGGTTTTTGTTATTATACATTCTTCTATTAATATTTTTACTAACGTACTTACATACTAACGTTATAATAACGTAAACCTTTGGCGCTGTAACACCTAGAAGATAAATGTTCTTAATGATCTCAATATTATTCAAATTATATTTTTTATTGTTTAAAATTTTTATAATCGAATTGCAAAATAATAATTCGTAAATAACTTTAAAGTAAAATATATGTATATTGCAGATATATCTTAAACGATTAACATATTTCAATTATGTGTTTTCATTGTTTACACTTTTTATAATTAAATATGAAAAACAAAATAAACGTTATAAAAATTATTTGTAAATAATTCTAGAGTAGAATATATGTATTATAGACATTAATATGCTAATTTTATTTATGTCTAAAAAACTATTTAAACTGTACCAATACCCTCATAATTATTTTCCTTTTATTCAATATTATGTAGAAATTGAGATTCAGTATATGTCATAAACACGCATGGCCTTTTATCGATTGAATCATAGGTCTGAACACATTGATTCTTCTCTTACAATGTCTTCATCATTCATCGATGATACTTTGGATGGATATAAGAAAAATGATGAGAGGGACGAATCGGTGATAGTGACAAAGAAAAAGCAGCTGGATTTAAAGAAAATTCCTTTAGAAGATGAAAAGAAACAACAGTTCTTCAAACTTCTTCAACTCGAGAAGAAATTGGACACAGAATATAACAACTTGAAAACTTCGAGAGATAAATATCCTTCTATGAAGCAAACTACGAACCTTTTGCACGAATACAATGATATGAAGGATGCGACTCAAGTTGTATTTGGTGCCGTTGCTGAAATTAATAATATCACAGTTACAAGTTTACATAAAGATTACGGTTTACCTACTAACGATAGCTGAAAGTCTTATTGATCCAACGATTAACTTTATCTTAAAATAATGTTAATAACTATGTTCGTTGTTAAGATGCACTACTGTGATATATATATTTTGTATAATAAAAATCTTATTTAATCATGGATACTATTTAAAAAATCTGTCTATTACTTTTAAATGTGGTCACATATGATATGTGTACACACAGTGAAGTAATTTCTTTAAATGTTAGGCTTGGAATGGTTCAATGTCTCCGAGAATCTCTCTATGAAGCAACACCTCCATGGCAAAATAGTTATATTAGACTTTTTTACTTATTGCTGTATCAACTGTATGCATATTCTACCTGATTTGGAAGCGTTAGAAAAAAAGTTCTCTATAGAGCGTGGTTTAGTTGTGGTTAGTAAATATTTACTAATATTAAATGAACCGCTCATGGGCCAAAGCGATTAATTCTGCTTTTAGAATTTATTTAAATTTTATTATTAAACCATTTGAGTGATGCTGAATTTTTTATTTTTAAAACAAATTTCCTTAATAATAAATGATATGACAATGTTTATTACTTATCAATTTTCTTTACTTTTTGCTTCATAGAGTTAATCGATTTGGAGTATGAGTAGCTTAAATATTAAAGTTTAAAAGTTACTTTTTTACATGTTATTTTTTACAATAGAAAATAATAACACTAAACATACCAACAATTTTTCTATATCTTTTATATTACAATGATTCAAATGATAAATCAAATTAAATACAGATAATAGAAAATTTAAGACTGGTTTAAATAATCAATAAAACAATGTTTTTGTATATAATAATAAAACATTATTATTTATAATTGTTATAAAGTCAAATGGGGAAAGGCAATAACATTGAGAGCAGAATTTTAATTCAAAATTTAGAATTGAACATTTGACTAGTATGGTACATTTAGTGTTAATAACATAGTTTTAATAATATAAATCACAAATTGTACAGTTTATAAGAACATGAACATATGTTTAGTATTGTTCCTTTAGATTGGTGTTCATAGTGCAAAATTTTCTAATGAGCGTGATTCAGCAAAAATAAGGTCAGCTGTGCAAAGGTATAACATAATGCATCCTGTTGTTAATGATTCAACACTTTCGATGTGGGAAGCTATTGGAGTGATGTGCTGGCCAACAATGATAATGTTAGGTATGCATAAATACTTGATCAAAATTTGAAATATGTGAAAATTTGTTATATGTACAATATATTTGAATTAATGGGAATTTCAGGTCCAAGAGGACAACCATTAATGGTTACATTAGGCGAAGGTCATAGAGAAGAATTATTTTTATATACAAAAGTTGCACTTGATTATTTTACATCAATAAATGAAATATCTAATCATGCTCTTCCTATAGCACCGGCTATACATTTGTTACCAGCTTCAACTGATCTTTTACGATTTCCTGGCAAAGTAGAAATGTATTCTTCTGAAACAGGAGAAAAATTAATTGTATCGGATACTGGCAACAATAGAATTTTAATTGCAGATATTAATGGAAATATAGAGCACGTTATAGGTGGATACGATGCGGGCTATAAAGATGGTAGTTTTAACAAAGCCAAGTTTAATGCACCCCAAGGTACTTGTGTACTGAAAGAAATGATATATGTTGCTGACAATGAAAATCATGCTATTCGAAGGGTAATTTTAATACAAATTTTTCAACAATTTCTATTAACATGTTAATATCCGTTATCTATAGACAGGTTTTAGACTTTCCATTTGGACTGAACGGTTACCAATGATTGATATTCTTTCATATTTCTTCGAATGATAGATTAGCGTGTCATAAATGGAAAGATAAACAAAAGATACTTGGCATTTAACACGTTAAATTTGTGCAATTTTATAAATTTGTTATGATACTTTTTACAATGAATGTTACATATTTATTTTAGATTGATCTGAAAAAGCAAACTGTGACTACTGTGGCAGGTACAGGAAAACAAGGTCATGATTATATAGGAGGTAAATTTGGAACAGATCAAGAACTTTCTTCTCCTTGGGACGTGGCAATATACTATCATAATAGTGACAAAGTTACTGTACCGATTTTATTGATCGCAATCGCAGGCACACATCAAATTTGGGCACTCTTTTTAGAAGATACTATTTGGTGGAAAAATAAGTAAAATAAGTTTAACATTTTACACTTTAAGAATAAAATATTGATTTTATACAATTATCTTACTTTTTATATTAGATATTTTATTATTTAACAGATCATATCAAGCTGGTATGTGTGCAGCTATTGTTGGAAATGGTCGAGAAGGGAATCGTAATAATTCGTATCCACATGCAGCAACATTGGCTCAACCTTCTGGAATCACAATTGCTCAAGAATATAATGCTGTATATTTTGCTGATAGTGAAAGTAGCAGTATCAGAGAGGTTCATTTAAAAGATGGAAAAGTTTCTACATTGTGTGGTGCTGATAAAAATCCACAGGTTAAATATATAACATGAAGCAGTGAGAATGTTAAGTTTTTAACATATAATTCTTAATAACAATCGTATGAATTCCTTTAGAATTTACATGACTTTGGAGATATGGATGGCACTCGTCATACTGCAAAACTTCAACATCCTTTAGGAATAATATGGAATTCTATTCAACAAGAAACTTATATAGCAGATACTTACAATCACAAAATTAAAAAAGTAGATCCCACAGGAAATTGTAAAACACTATATGGTGCTGGGAAGCCAAATAAATCATTCATTGTAAGAGATAATTTTAATTAAAGCATTAATAATTTGTTTCTACAGAAACATATTTAACTGGAAATATAATCTTTTAGTTCAACGAACCAAGTGGACTTGCGATAAATAATAGCGCTGATACTTTATACGTAGCGGATACAAATAATCATTCTATTAAAGAAATCAATTTAAAAAATAATACTATTTCGTCCGTGAGTATAAAATATATTTGTTAATGGATTAATCAACATTATTTATGATCTTTTATTCATAATTTAATGTTTATTTATATTTTTAGATTTCCTTTGTTCTTCCAACCAAAGATAATGATAAGGATAACTTTGATGAAGTGTATTCTTTTAATACGATCATTGATACAAATGGAGGTGAACTTACAATCACATTTGATTTCATATTTGAAGATGATTTGAAATTGAATTCTGAAGCTCCTCAGAAATGGTCGTTGTCGTTACCAAAAGATACTTGGTTAGCCAAATCTTTACGTGGCTCGCTTGCAATACCAACGTCAATTCAAATTCCTAAGGGTTCTGAAAGTAATGATATACGCTTATTCTTAGATATAATAACTTGTAATGTTAATGAATGTATACCAAAAAAAATATTGGTAGTATTTAAAGTGGAGCAAAAAATTGACGGACCTCGGACTGTCGCAGAACATAAAAAGATTGTAATAAAAAAATAACAGAAAAGATCAATTAGTTGAAATTTGAAGAAAATTTTACTATTTGTAATAGGGCAGGGTGTCTGAGGTTTTTTGTACACACGTTGTCAGCGTATTTTACGCTAAAAAATAAAACCAAAATGTTTTATAAACATAAATCATTTGAAACTTTATTAAAAAGTTATAAAAAATTGTACAAATATTTAAATGTACTGTCCAAAATATTGCCCATCTACGCGAATACAAGTTTAACACTGCTGCAGTATACTGTTTCTGACATGAGGAGTTTCGAATGACTTACGTTTATAGATATTTTGGCCTTATTTTTGAATGTAGAATATGAAAAAACCTCAGATACTCTGTATAATATTGTTATTACTAAAAAAAAAAAAAATCGCATAAATACGCATGCCAAATCTTTTAATTGAACTAATTTTGCAGTGCTTTTAATACGACCAAAATAATATTAATCAAAGAGAAACGTTATTTAATTTAATACAGAAATTCTTAAATACATTAAGTTTTAATTCATTTGTAAACTAATGACAAATTAATATTCCTCTCCTCCTTCGCCTTCACCCTCAACTGAATCCAAGCCAACTTCTTCGTAATCTTTCTCTAATGCCGCTAGATCTTCACGTGCTTCTGAAAATTCTCCTTCTTCCATACCCTCTCCTACGTACCAATGTACAAATGCACGTTTTGAGTACATAACGTCAAATTTGTGATTGAGCCTGCTCCATGCCTCAGCTATTGCAGTTGTATTAGCCAACATACAAATAGCACGTTGTACTTTGGCGAGATCACCACCTGGTACAACCGTAGGTGGCTGATAATTAATACCAACCTAAAGATGATCAAACACTACTATTATATAAACACTTAAATTAAAAAACAATTTTTTGTAGAGTATTTAAAGACAAAAATTCGAAAAAAATGACGGAATTGTTTTTCACAGAGCACAACAAGATAGTTAAATTTAAGTCATATCCAAAAATTTGAATTTTCACAGTAGCTTGAGTTGATGATAGTTTGTTTGACACTATGTATATGTGTACCTTAAATCCAGTTGGACACCAGTCAACGAATTGTATAGTACGTTTGGTTTTAATAGTTGCAATAGAGGCATTGACATCTTTTGGTACAACATCTCCTCTGTATAACATACAACAAGCCATGTATTTACCATGACGTGGATCGCATTTAACCATTTGATTGGCCGGTTCAAAGCAAGCATTTGTCAACTCTGCTACCGTTAATTGTTCATGATAAGCTTTTTCGGCGGAAATGACAGGTGCATAGGTTGCAAGTGGAAAATGAATTCGGGGATAAGGTACCAAGTTTGTTTGAAATTCAGTAAGATCAACATTAAGAGCACCATCGAAACGCAAGGATGCAGTGATCGAAGAAACAATTTGACCGATCAAACGATTTAGATTTGTGTAAGTTGGTCTTTCTATGTCAAGATTACGACGGCAGATATCATAAATTGCTTCGTTGTCTACCATAAAAGCGGCATCCGAATGTTCGAGAGTCGTATGAGTAGTAAGTAAAGAATTATATGGCTCGACTATTGCCGTACATATCTGGGGCGACGGATAGATAGCAAATTCAAGTTTTGATTTTTTCCCGTAATCAACGGATAATCGTTCCATCAAAAGGCTAGTAAATCCAGATCCGGTGCCACCACCAAAAGCATGGAAAATAAGAAATCCTTGGAGTCCCGTACATTGATCGGCTAATTTGCGTAACCGATCTAATACTAAATCCACGATTTCTTTGCCAACGGTATAATGGCCCCTCGCATAATTATTCGCAGCATCCTCTTTGCCTGTTATCAGTTGTTCCGGATGAAAGAGTTGCCTGTAAGTTCCGGTACGTACCTCGTCTAATGTAAGAGATAAAAATAACTCGTTTAAAAGTAATCTTAAAAGTAATCATGGATATCAATGCGAGATTATAATGATCATACCTACTACAGTAGGTTCTAGATCCATAAAAACAGCTCTTGGAACGTGTTTTCCTGCACCTGTCTCGCTAAAAAATGTGTTGAAACTATCGTCCCCTCCTCCAACTGTTTTATCTGAGGGCATTTGCCCGTCTGGTTGAATTCCATGTTCCAAACAGTATAATTCCCAACAGGCATTACCGATCTGAACTCCACCTTGTCCAACGTGCACTGATAAACACTCGCGCTAGCGATTAATTTTAAATACATTTTAATAAGTAATCAGTTATAATTAGGAATTAAGAAATTAACAAATCATTAATTATTAAATTGTCAATCATTTTTGATCAATCTTTTTACGATCAACTTACCATTATTATATATACGTCTGTAGTTAGAGATTGTAATAATATTATTCAATTGTGATGAAATAAAAATGATTGTATCGCACTTTCTTTTGCAGTTACCGTTATGTTTCTTCTTCGTCAATATTTTTTGTAATATGTCGCAAAGATTGTTTACGAAACAATAGAAAACGCAATCTGATCGCATAGGCGAATATTTATTGTTTTTTGTTTTTTTTTTTTTTTTCAATTCCACTCGTATTAATTTTATAAATATAATACATCTGCATGTAAATATATTGTAAAAACAAAATATAACGAAATATTTTAATAGTAGTAATCCTTTTCTTCGGTATTTCCATTTGCTTATTTTTCTCTTTGATTTCGATAACAATTTTTGCAAACGAAGTCGTTATCTTTCCGATATATGCTGGTATCTTTCTTGAAGGTCGACAATCTTGTTTTTTTTTTGTTCAAAAATAATTATAAATTAAGATTTAATATATACGATATATTATAATAAACAATATAATGTCTTTTAATTTACACTTAACACTTTTACGATAGGAAATGTCATTTTATAATTGATGCTTTTTAATTTATTCATTATGTATCAAAATCTTAATATAGAAATAATAAAAATTTGGAAAATTATATGCTTTATTCAGTTAAATGTTTTGTCTGGCTATCGCCAATCGCAAAAGTGTTAATATACAAGCTATTTCATAAATACTTTAATAAACTTAGAAGATGAGTATAAAACAAGAAAAATATATCATTAAAGTAAATATATGTAAAGAAACGAATATTTAAAGTTTATGTTTCATATTCGAAATATTGCATTCAATAAGAAACTGATAAATTAACAACAAATGTTTTAAAATATTTTTTTAATATTTTCCAGCTAATTCGATGTACGTATGACACTGAAAGATCCTATGACTGTTGTATATGATTTCGCAAGAATTTGCAATACGTTTTGATGAAGTATCTTTTTATTTGCATTTTCAATTATATAAACTAAGGTCTTTAAATATTCTTACAGATAAAGATCTAATGAATTTATGTCAAACCTAGTATATAAACAAACAAACAAAAAACTCACTAGTCATGAGATTTTTAGAAGAATATTATTCCGGATATATATTTTTTTTCTTGTTTCTATACGTGATATGAACTTTAAAATATCAATTATATTAAAACATGAAATAATATTAATCAATTATAAAATCAATAATATTAATTATGAGATTTAAATTGATTGTAAAGAAATCATTATGAATATACCTTTTCCACCATTGTTGCGGTGAATCTTTTGATAAGGGTAAACAATATGATATATTTAAATCCTCCTTAATTTTTGTCGACCAATTTTCGTGTAACCATGGTTGATAGCCTGTAGGTTCGTCAAATCCCTTCCGACAATTATTTATAATCCACTGAGCTCTCGTTTTAGTTGGTATTTCAATTATCTTAGAAATGTTTCAAATATTAAAAAGATTTCAATAAATAGAAACAATATATTATCAAACCGATAAGTTACTTCTATTTATTTGATCAGTATTTTCAATACTTTACCATCAATATTTTGTACAATCTTTACGGTTAATACGTGAAATTACATGAATTCGTGAAATAACCAGTTAAACTATGAAATAACTATACTCATCTGTTAAAGTATGAAATAAGGCAGAATTGCATAATTTTTAACAAAGTAATATAAGAATTCACTAAAGGTGAGTAGTTAAACTACGAAAATGAAATTGGATTCGTCTTTAAAATTATGAACTATAAGGTTCCTGATGAATTATGAATTTAAGGAACCTAATAAGGTTCAACTTGGTGCGTTCAAAGTCGATAGAACAGCACGATTAATAAAACATTGTTTTTTCAAAGTATAGAAAAAGATAAGAACGGATAACTATAAACATTGTCGTAGAAAAAGAAGAAGTTAAAAACGGAACCATCTTTAATCTCATACTTTAATTACTCGACTTTTTTGAAGTAACATTTTACTTAATTATTTCATACAATAACTAGTTTAAGTGTATAATAAAATTCTTTTTATATGTTTTTCCTAATATTCCTTATTATCTCACGAATTAACTAATTTATACACTTTAACGATAAAACAGTAAATGATTATTATACAGAATGTTTCAAAAATTGCTTTAACGAATGTAAAAAATTATACATTTTGTTTGCAAGTATTTGGAGTGGCTTTGTGGGCTTATACTTTTTTTTAAAAAACACCGAGATTCATATCTTGAAATGAGAAACATATTGTAATTCTCTATTAATAAATCTTTATTATAATTTTTTGTTTCGTTTTTCTTTTCTCGATAAATCAATTTTGGAAACACCCTGTATACAAATGTCTTGTTTAGTATAAATAATAATTTGTCATAATTTCAAATGAATGATTAGTATTTATAAAAGAAGCAAAAAATTGCGTCAAGATTGCATCAAACTTGCGTATTTATACAGAGTACATACTGATATTTTATCTCATGATAAAATTTATATATTGTAATTATTTATATATTGGTCATCTATTTAATATGATCGTCAGTTAGCTGTGACGACTTGTTTGTGAAATGTGTATTCAAGCTGTCTAGCAAAAATGAAACGATAATGAGTATACTCGTCAAACATATAATATGTGCAGCTGTAATAACATTTAATTAAGTTGTAATCGAATGACTATTTTATTTTTTTCATAAAATTAATAATTTTATTACTAATATTTATTTATTTACTTAATTTAAACATGTAGTTGATACACGAAAGAAGAAAATAAAAGAAAATCAATTACTTAGAAAAATGATTAGTTAAAAATTGAATCTGCTGTTGTTGAATCAAATTGTGAATAAAATAAAGTACAATTATACTTTACAAAATACACTTCACAAGTCAAATACCAATATCTTCATTGCTTCCGAATATTATTTTCGTATGATTATTTTTTTCAAGATATATTTATTATATTATCTGAAAAATGTGTAGCGTTTTAAGTTTATCGAGTTTGTTCTACATTATTTAAACTCTATTAACAATATTTTCATAATAATTATTTATATATTTTTTCGTTTTATTTCATCCTGATCTTGAAATATTTTTTAAATCTTGAATCTTACGAATATATTTTAGTTTCAATTAAAATTGCAATTTATATATATATATATATATATAAATAATGAATGGTAATGATTTTTTTCGCATAAGAAGTATACTCATCATAACACAAACTATTGCAATTTCTCCATAACGAATATACTCGTCAATTACAGCTAACTAATTAAAATACTGATACCTTTTGTATTAATCGATGTAATATTGATTACTTAAATTATGTATTGATATTTCATTACAAAAATATTCATTATAAATATTAAATAATACTGATCTAATAAATATTAGATCGTCAAGTATGAAATTTGTATAATAGAAAAACACAGTTGACAATATAAATTACTACAAATTTCATACTTGCCAATCAAATAATAGCTGAGAAAAATTATTTATATAGAATCAGTAAAAAAAATGAGAAAATGATCTTGTTATATTAACCTTTTTTGAATCATAGGACATGATACAATGAGTATCCGGATAGTAAACACCGTTACCCGTATCGTAGCAATGAATAGGAATTATTTTTGGCGGATGAAAATTGGTTTCTAACGTTTTCCGTGCAGGTCTCAAGTAATTCGTGATGCACGGATAGAATCTACACGAAGAAATTGGAAACTCTTCGAGGAATAAAATATCAAAGTTACTGTAAACTATAGTCAAATGTTACGCTAACCGTCTGTCAGGAAATTGGCAATACTTCCAATCATCTTCAGCGAACACTAAACCGTCCTTGAACTTGTACCGCTTCATTTTCAGTTTACCATTTATCCAAACCCCGTCTATGCTTTGTCCGCAAGGGAAGGACATGGTTCCGTGTCCGTGAAATTTACCATCGCGAAATTCACCCTCGAAAATAGTTCCTGCATATTATTATTATTATTATTTTTTTTTTTTTATTTTGAACGATATAATGAAAAATTATTCGTGAAATTTTTGAAAATATGATTTTCAAATTGCGATATATATCCCCCCCCTACCCCCCTTCCCCGCCACATTTTCACTAATTTAAAACGTAGTATACATTTTGGTATAAATATAAATATATTTGTTTAATACAGGGCTTCTTAAACTATGGGTCGCGACCCCAAATGGGGTCGCGTAGCAAAATTCTGCGGTCGCGAGAGATTTTAATGTCAAATATTTATATATACCATTTTATAACATCACTAGAGTTGGCGGAATACAGTGGACTTGCAGCGTCTAGACACGTGCATTTGTTGAAGGTTTTGAGCTATCTCCACCGACAGCAGTAATATTTGTATGGGGTCGTCAAGAAACTCGCAATCATAAATGGGGTCGTGAATGACAAAAGTTTAAGAAGCCCTGGTTTAATAGATATCCGATTATTTATTTGCTATATAACATATATATGTATATGTATTTATTAACCATTAAGTAAAGTATATCTGCCAATTCCTGCCATGCCGACTGCGTCCCAAGTACCGTTGTAATGACTTCCATTGACAAAAAAACTTTCACTCCAAAATGGGTCAGTGACATCTTTTGTTACATTGGAATCTAATTCATTCTTCTCGTTTTGCTCTTTAAGGATGCTGTAAACTGTTTCTTCCCGATTATGGTTATTATTCCGAACTTCTTTTACATTTTTTATTGATATTGGAATAATTGACGATATAGTTTCATTCATTTTTATTCTCGAAGCAGACTGTATAAGAAAAAAGCACATATATTTTATTATATTATAATGTATTCATATAATTCTTATCTCAAAAAAACAAATCAAATCTTTCTTTTCCTAACCACATGCAAATCCTGATTAATAGTTTTTAAAATCAATTGTTGATTATGATCATTCATATTAATTGTTGTTGATATTTTTAATCGTTGATCAATATGATTCAATCAGATACTCATTATAAACGAAATATTTTGTTCTAATTAAGATTTACCTAAAAAAAAAGAGTAAGTATTATAATTGTGATGATTTATTCGATAAGATTAGACTTTTAATGATTAATAATCTTTCTTAATCTTCTTCTAATCGAATTCGTTTCAATATACGTACAAAAATAAATCTACGAGAAAAATTATAGATTCGTTTATTATACATTAAAAAAAAAAAAAAAAAAACCAAAGAAATTGTAGATTGGAAACTTTGAAAAAAAAAAAAAGAAAATAAAAAGAAAAAAGGAAAGTTGTCAACAAAATATATTACAAATCACCTAAATATGTTATATTAGAAGATAAAACAAAAAGAAAAAAAATGTCTGACCGACGTAATATTATAAAAGAGAATCATTTAAACTGACCACGTATCGTGGTTGACTCGGCATTGAGAGAAAAAAAAAAAAGAAAGAAAAAAAATTGCATGCAATAAAAATAAACGAATTTTCTTTGTCGTTTAAATGAACCCCACACATTTAACCCTTCTTTGCATGATGATGGAAATTTCAATCATAATATTTAGTCAACAAAAAAAGATACTCAAAACCCTTGTACTGTTTATTTGTTGTTGCTGGCAACTTCAAAAAAAAAAAAAAATCATGCAAAGAAGGGTTAAGCTTTAAAAATAATAAAAGCTTTCTGAATTTCTAACGTTAAAAAAAACATCATATTTTGTTTTTCTTTCTTTCTTTTTACATCGGTAGAATGGTAATAGGAGGACAAACTTGTATATAGTGTGTCGAGACTACAGAGGCTAACATAAATTATAAAATCTTCGAACGGTTGAACAACATTCGGACTATGTGCAATACCAAGCGTCTCGACTAAGTACGTACCAGTGGTAGTGGTCACGAATTTGGAATGTTAGAGCTACGATCGTAGTCTCGAAGTCAAGTGACTCGCAACCGGTCAGCCAAAGTGTACCGTTAATCGTTGGTATAATCATCGGCCTGGATTACGACGCACGCCATGCTTAAAACCCGTGCACCGATAGAATACGCGCTCTCAATATATGAAGGGAATATAGCACGGACACACATTCCAAAAATATATATCTTACATTAATGCATTTTCAATTCCTCTTGAGATCATAGATAATGCAATCAAGTTTAAATACTTATTTCTAATACAAGTAGTATATTAATTAGTAACTAGTAGTATATTAACTAGTAACTAATAGTATATTAAAACTAACTAGCCAAGAAAGTTACCCTAACTTCGTTGTTTTTTTTTTATTTATATTTATAATACATCACATTTATATATTTTCATTTAATTAAAATTATACTTCATTTATTATATGATATAATTAATATCTAGTTTTTTAATAATAGTATATTGGTATATGCCTGAGGATAAAATGATATGACACCTTGTATATTTCATTTCTTATCTTTAATTTCTCGATGACAATTAAAAATTTTGTAAATGTAGTGAATATCGCATAAATATCACGAGGCGAGATATAGGAATTTTTGTTATTGACTGATCAAGAAAGTTTACGTTTTATTTATCTTTATTAATTAAAATTACACGTACTTTCTTAGTTACTCGATACTGTAATACGTAAAATATTTTTTTATAATAGTGTATTAGTGTATTAAATAAACGATAAAGTTTATAACTTTTTTTTTTTAAGTTTATGGGTTATTTATTACCATTAATTAAAATAACATGTACTATTTTGGTTACTTCATATTCCAATAAATAATATATATTTAATAATAATATTGTATATTAGATGTGATCAAGAAAGTTTATACTAGGTTTATGCGTTGTTTAATCTTTATTCATTAAAATGACATGTACTTTTTTTTGGTTATCTGATATTATAATAAATAATATATTATTTATAAACAATGTATTAGAATATATCGAGTAAACGAAAAAGGTTCATACTTATTTTTAAGTTTAAGGATTATTTATCTCAACTAGTTACAACGGCATGTATTCTATTGGCTATTCGATATATAAATGATAATAAATTTTCTATTAATAGTACATTGGTATATGAAGTGGTAAGAAAGTTCGTACCACTCATAAATTTGTCTATCATTCATCTCTATTAATTAAAACAGTATATACTTTCTTGATTGTTTGATATGTAAAATATAATAAATTTTCCTATTAATAGTAGTATATGAAATGGTTCAGAAAGTTTGTACCGTTTCAAGATTTGTCTGTGATTTATTCCTATTGATTAAAGAGAGCCATTTATTTTCTTGAATATTTCATATTTAAAATATAATAAATTTTGTATTAATAGTGCATGAATATACGAAACGATCAAGAAAGTTTTTTCAAGTACCGTTTCAATATTTACCCATCAAATTTATCTCTATTCATCCAAATAATGTTACTTTGATATTATTAATGAATATGTTATATTATATATTATAATTTTAGTTAAACCAAAAAAAGTATGTTAAGTTTTAATAAAAATAGAAACAAATAATAAATAATCTTAAAAAGAAATTGCACGAATTATCATAATTCTCCTAATATTTTAATTCTAATCTAACGCAACGATCTACAAAATTCCCATTAAGTATTGTAACTATAATATATGTTTAAATATAATATTAGAATAAAATAAATAAAGAAAGGGATAGAGATTTAGTTATTTGACTCCCATTAAAGTCGATTATTCGAAAGAATGAAAAGAAAAATTGTCACTCGACTTGTGTCCCGTATAACGTGTAATAAAAATGAACTGTGAAAGAAACTTTGTAGAATACCATAAAGGAGACATAGAAAATATAAATGAATGGGGTAAACAAAAATAAGGAATACAAATAAAAATGGTAGGTAAGAAAAGAATAATAATAATAATAATAATAATAATAATAATAATAATAATAATAATAATAATAAGAAAAAGAAGATAAAGAAGAAAAAAAGTGAAAGAGAAAAGAGAGAGAAAGATAGAAAGAGAGGGAATGAAAAGAAGCATAGAAATCATGCCGCAAATGATCTTCTCTGAAGTTAAGTTCAAAAGAAGAAGAAGAAGAAGAAGAAGAAGAAGAAGATAAGAAGAAAAGAAAAGAAAAGAAAAGATAAAAGGAAGGAAGGAGTCGAAGAAATGAACAGGAGGAGAGGAAGCGGGATGAGTTTGCGAAGGTAGGTAGGGGAAAAACTGAAAGAGAGAAAGAGGAGAGTAGTCATGTCAGGTAGTAGGAAAAGGAGGGGTATGAAGGAGAAGAGAAACAGGAGAAGAGGACGAGTAGTAGCAGGAATATAAGCGTCTTCGGTAAGGTCACTATCCTTAGTCGTTGCGGCAAGGTCAACCGCAAGATCGTTCGGCTCGGTTGCAGTTCCTTAGGAGTTCCTCACGGACGTCGTGGAAAATCGTTCCAAAGGATTAGGATACGCGGACCCCGTACATATATAACCGTAACCGGAAAGGATAATTTGAGGAAAGAAATAATAGTGGGAGAGAAGGAAATAAAGAATAGAAAAAGAAAGATAGGACAGGAGGACAGTAAAAACGAGCCTAACGGAGATAGGAAGGGAGGAAAAGAGTAATACAAGTGAGATAGAGGAGAGAGAGGGAGAGAGGGGAAAAGGGAGCAAGTTTGTTTGACAATAAAACCCGTGAAAAAGAATTATAAGACAATTAAGGGTCAGAATAATCAAATAATTCGAATCCCTAAGAACGATGAAGCTAAATATCATCATTTCTGCGTTATTCATATTAGAATAACATTTGTGTATATATTGTTCGGTAAATAATTATACAAAAAAGTCATTCGTATATACTTCTTGGATATTAAGGAATTATCGGACTAACAAAGTACATCATGTTTTTCATCGGGAAAGATGCCGGTCGATGTACGATCGATAAGACTGTAAGTTCTTCCATTAAAATATATTAACTATTATATGTTGCATGTTTATTGGTAATCAAATTATTTAGCCACTTTCACGTTTAGATAATAATACCTCGAAACGTTTTATGTCAAATCTGCGCGGTTGTTTTGTTTTTTTTTTGTTTCAATTCTTTCCCAGCAAATTCGATTGATCGTCGATAATCGCATAAAGAAAACTCAACTAAGTCTACTGGCTCAAGAATGAAGTTCTTTTTTTATTTTATTTTTCTTTTTTTTTTTTTTGTAGGTTACTCGAAACTTACGTACTCGTCAAGGGTGGCAGACTTTAACGGCACTTGTCATCCTCTTGACAAGCGTATTTTCATCGAGCAAGGCTTCGCACCTGTCAAGAGTCACGGCTGATGCATTAGGTGACACTGCAAAATTATGGGACGTTAGGTCAGCAAAATGATTTATTCAATTATATAAGAATTTTATTCAACTATATTTATAAATATATACATTGTCGATCATAATATATTAAATATATAATAAGACGAAATAATACAAAGTGATTATAATGATTAGAATATTCGTTGTATTTTTAGTAACGCTTCGAAAAACGTTGAACATAAAAAAGATTTGCCAGCATCACCGGCAGAATTGCTTAAACCCGACAAATTTCTATTCTACACGTATAATGATCAGGGGAACATGATCACGAAGCAAATGAGTTTACGTGAGATACAAGCACTAATCGCTGGTGGAAACGGAGGGCATGTAGCAATGGAAATGTATGAGCCACAGAAATCTGGTGATCTGTTGAATGGAGAAAAAAACGTAAGAAATAAAAGTCTCGTTAATAAATTCCTTCTAATCAAATTTAAATTATTTCATTTTTTTTTTCATTTTTTTTATCATTTCTTTTCAACATTAACTTGGTGCACAAATAATTGTAGTTTTGAAATATCGAATTTAAAAAGTTATGCGATTAAATGTCGAATAACTGTTTAATTATTATAAATATTAATTAAATATTATTACCGGTCAAACACACACACACATACACATATACAAAATAGTCTCATTTGTAATAGATTTTGAATGAAAATACTCTATTTAATGTTATTGCTTTTCTTTTTTTTTTTTTCCATTTAATTTTATAACATTTATAATTATAAATATTCTTTTATTACTATCTAAAAAGTGTAAGTATTAAAATAACGTGACCTTTGCATTCAATTGTAAAAAAATATAACTTTTTTTTCAAGATCTGTCATTCAATCGGTTATCATATAAACAGATATAAATCGGTTAATGCAGTATTATTATCGGTAAGTAAATTAATCAAAGACGTTTGCGACCAATTTAATCTTCAAACTTTTCATTTTCATTGCTTAATATTTGATACCAATATCGAGCCATAAATTCGCGTTCGTTAAATTATCTCTTGGCCAAAAGCGCGGTTTATATTTCGAACAATTTCTGCTTCTTTCGCACGAATTTACGAATTTTCCCTATGCCTTAAACAATGAAAACAATAATATAAAGCAAAAATCAATAGAATCAATGTTACACTCTTTACAATGATGATGTACACTGGATGTGATGAACATAAGATAAAATGATAAAAGATAACAAAAGGAATATCGGTACCAAATTGAAAATAATAAAAATCGTAATTATTTTTGCATCAATCTAATATCATAATTACGTATTATAAAGCATGAATATTTGAATATCAAGTTAAAGATTTGAAGAAATTCGAAGGAAACGGTTACATCGAATAGAACACTTTTCTTAATTTTTCTTGATTCGCAGGTAATGGACGTAGTCGAGAAAGTACAAAATGTATTAAAAAGTGCATTGGATAAACCCTCGACTATGGCCGGCTCGTTATCATCTATCCCAGAATACGCAAACGCTGAATGGAGTAGCATTTTACCTGGTATTTTAACGAACAGTGAAGTCGAGCCTGATCCTACATCAGAAGAACCTAATTACGCGGAAGTTACTCAACCCGATTCGTTTATGAACACGCAGAAGATATCGTCAGTTTTGTTTAATCAAGAATCTCAATCGTCTACTTTAAAATCACCGATGATAGGAACTACCGAGAGACCTGAAGAATCGATTAACGAGGCCATTTCAACGACCAGCAAATTTTTATTAACATCGGTCATTGACGAGAACAAATTGTCGACGATTATTAATTACGGTGAAACGAAATCTCCAGATAAATATACCGAAAAACCAATGATACCTGTGCCAGTGATCACTACCGAAGGACAATTGTTCACTGATCAATTAGAGACAGTCAAAGATTCGATGTACCAAACGCCGACTACGAAATCCACTGTCGAGTTTATTGACATTGATCACTCGGCGATGAACGAGATGAATAATGCAACGGTATTCGAAAAAGTTCCAGTAAAAGTTTGGAACGAATTGGAACAAAACGTGACCTCTGACGAGTCGAGTACTAGCCGAGTAACGGAATATCTACCGATTTTGACTATGTTGGTGGGATCAACGGTGAACGACTCACTTGCCCTAGCAACCAACGAACTGGTGTCGTCCACTGAAAAAGATATAACGAAAAAAGTAACGGAAATAATGTCAGTGGAAACATCTACAGTACAAACTAGTACAAAAATTAATCAAGCTGAAAGTATTACAAAGTTATCTGAAAACGCGATCACTGAAATGGTCACACCGACTATTAGAACGTATGTACAAATGGAATCATCGAGTGGACATTTGTCTAATGCCAATATTACCACGGAGTCATTCGATGAAATAAACATGACTATACCTGAAATATCAAAAGTAACGACTCCTCAAGTTCTCTCAGTAATTTCAACGTCAGGGTTATTACCAACAAATGTAGCAAACGACGAACAGCTGAAGACTTCACAGTCATTCAACCTGACGACGAATGCGACCCAAGCAAACAGTTATTCATCAACATCAACACCACCCGATGATTACTTTAAAGTTTCATTGTCGGTAAATTTATCTGATGATATATCAGAAGGAACATCCATTAGTACAATTACAACAGATTCTGAAAACTTTACAAAAAAAGAGTCAGACCATACTATTGCAACAATTACAGAGAATACTACTTTGAATACAAATAAGCACGATGAACATGCTGAAAGTTTAATTAATAACTTAGAATCTCTCGAAAGCAACAAAAAAGAAGAATCTCCCGTTGTAGAAGAACAGTCAACTCTGATCGAAACAGAAATTTCTAAAATAAATGATATGTCTACCGTACAACCTACAATAGCAAACAATGCAGAAGATTCTACATCAACATCTATTTATACAACGGAGATTAATTTCGTTCGAATGAATGATTCATCGATTGATCCTTCTATCCTATCCAGCATTATTTCTGAATTTTCTACAGTTGCCGAGACTACCTTTATTAATGATTTAACAAGCAATAATTCTACCGAATCTAATGCGTATATTTCGAATACAACAATTGAATCTTTATTGGAAAAGATAATGAATGATACTAAGGAAACGTTAATAACAAATACAACTGTGATACCTGTTCTATCTACCAATGAAACAAACTTAATTAATAATCACATTGAAGACTTTATCAAAGATTTGTCTTCACCTTCTACAAGTCAATATACGATAACAACACCATCGACTGTATCTAACGAATTCGTTACGGTTACTGATTCGATAAAAACCAGTGATATGAGTACAACAGTTGCAGAAATTAAGAATACCACTATGAGTTCACAGATAGAAACATTGTATACAACAGCAATTAACGGTATAATTACGGATAACGTACAAACTACCGAAAGCTATTCAAACAGTGAAACTTCTTTAAATCCGAATCTCGATATAATAAATAAAGAAACTTCGTTCGTACGACATCAGAACGATGTCATGGAATCGTTCAATTCAATTACAACTTTGGAACCCTTAGAGCAAGAAACTGCAACTGAGAAGACGATCACGAATGTCACTATAGAAACGCGTACCACCATGTTATCTCCAAGCACGGAACGCATAACAATTGAAGAATATGTTCCCACCTTGATTCCCATTGCATTACCTAGCACGGAAACTATTTTGAAAATGCAAAGTAATACGATGATAAATCATACAAACATTGAGTTGGAATCATCGTTAAAAACAAACGAATCCCGTTACTCTGATTCAAAGGAAGAGATATCTACACTGAAGCCTTCCACTTCTTATGTTAAATTAAACATTACTTTTACGGATAATTTATCTTCTAATGATGCTACCAACGTATCTGTAGAAAATATTGTTACTACGAAGATTACGGAAAAAACTACGGAATTATTTGTCGAATCAACGCCCAGTAGTATTACAAAAGAACCATTAAAGGATTTACTTATCCAGGCAAACAAAACAATTGAAGAATCAATGGATAACAATACAACAATAAGTCAATCAAATATGATGGATCAAGTGACAACTAATGATAGTACAAATATCAAAAGTAATGAAACAAACGGAACATCTTTAGAATTAATCGATGATAAAACGAGAATAAAAGTAGCAAGTAATGATTCCATTTCTGTAACTCCAAGTGTTATCGAAGAAGTGTCATCGACAAAATTAATGACACCGTCTGTATCGACGGTTACGGAAAACTCGTTGGGATTGAAATTGACTTCGAAAATCAATTACAATGAGAAAATAAATGAAAGTTATTCGGAGGATAAGCAAACAACTGAAAAATGGATGTTGATACCTCATAAAGTAGTCACATCATCTACTGAAAAAACAAATATTTATCCAACAAATTTAAAGATCGTGCCGCAGGATATCACGTCAGATGGTCGCTTACCTACTGTAACATCAGATATAAAGACAAATGAAAGAATACCGTTAGATTCGCCGGCAAGCGTGAACGCATTGGATGTAACCGTGACCAAGACCGAAAACGATATCGTTAATTTCTCCAAAATGTGTAACAATTTAGCATTTGATTTTTGGATGGCTGCTAATAAGGGTCTAAGTACAAACAGATCCTTGGTTCTATCGCCTTTCGGTATGGTCAGTTTATTGGCGATGATCTTTTTAGGAGCACGAGGAACAACCTCCGATCAGATGAACGAATTACTGAAGTTAGACGATGTAGCAACATTTAACCCCCATTTGGTATTTCAAAATGTAACCGATATGGTGGGACTGACGAGAGGTCAAGGGATCACAAATACTGCCTTTGTTCGTGAACTTTTCGTCGATAGAGCAAAGATCAGAAAAACATTGGCTTTTTACAAAGAACAAGCCCAACAGTTTTACGAAGGTCTAGTGGCCGAAGTGAACTTTGCCACCATTGGTGATATCGTTCGCAGACGAACGAATCTATTGGTTAGAAAACAAACAGGTGGTAGGATTAAAGACTTCATAAAGGTGAACACAGTACCTCTACGATCTCCTTTGGCTGCTGTTTCAGCTAATGTTTTTCAAACTAATTGCAACTCTAGCTTCGTCAGTTCCGACGGGAGAGATGGCGAATTATATTTTGCCGTGTCACCGGCTATCAGACAGAGAAAATTAATACCTGTACCAGCTATAGTCTGGCGATCAAATATTCTTGCAGGATATGAACCTAGTTTGGACGCTACTGCGGTTGCTCTTGGTAAAGTCGAAAATCTTGTTACAACGGTCTTTTTACTACCAGGACAACAAGGTCATATAGCGCCAGGTGATACTTTGGATCGTCTTGAACGAAGACTCATAGCAAGTACTTCTCGTGACAATAATTGGAACAGGCTTCTTAAGGTACTTCTTCCTAGAAATAGTCTAGAACTTCAGATACCTAAATTTACGCATAGATCGGTCGTCAATGCGACAGCAGCTCTTAGAAGAATGGGATTTGATAGACTATTCACTGAACAAGCCGATTTAAAGGGTATCAATGGAATTGGGAATCATTTACATCTTTCTGATATTTTACAGGTTAGAAATCATTTTTCTTTCTAAATGTTTTTAATACGAAAGTTTTTTACATTCTTTATGCAAAAATGCAAAAAGGAACAAAAAAACGATTATTCATAGTTCTTCGAATGGATAAAACGGGACAAATATATAATACAATTCAAATATTTTCTTAAGTAGAAGACTAATTTTTATATGTAATTAATAATCTAATTTCTTTTTAATATAAAAAGAACACCACATATATATAATTTAGAAGATTTAGGAATATTAATAAATAATTGTTGTATTATTTTTAAAAATCATTAGAAAATAAGGTTTTAAGTAAACATGTTCGCGGATGTGAATGTTATAGCATTCAAATTTAAAATATTTTTTTGAATTTTATTTTATATAACTTTAAATTTTCGTAATTATTCTACCTGTAAAGGGTAATAACTAACTGATTCTTTAATATATGATAATCTGACTGCCCTTATAAAATGTGTTTAATCAAATTTTGGATATCATTTAAAAATAAAATGACTGTGACTTTTTCTTCCTCGCTGAAACTTTGATTGTCCGCGAACGCGTTAAATATTTTCTATTTTCGGATCCCTGTAACTCGACATCACCCGTTTTAATTTATCTTTCTATTAGATTTAATTATCAATAAATACCTCTACTTCTTTCTTATATGTTCATTTCCACAGATTTAAGTATTTATTTTATTTATTTGAAGATTAATTTGTTCGGCACGTGTGGTGATGAGAATCCAACAAATGGAAGACATCACATGGAAACATATCCAGCAACCCCAATAAAAAGAGCTCGCCAGCATGATGAAGAAATTTCTGTTAATTCGGATAAAATGACCTTGGATATGCGTCGTGAGCCTAATCTTTTAGATTTCTTAGAAGCAAATGCTTCGACATTTGAAGAAACGATACCAATGAACGGTAAGATCGATAAAAGAAGAAAACGGCATGCAGATAATGCGAAAGTGACAATGAGATCAGAAAGACCGCGATTAAAACTCGACAGGCCTTTCTTATATTTCGTACGTCACAATCCAACTGGTTTGATACTTCATATGGGAAGATTTAATCCAAGACTTTTGCCTTAGCTTGTTTATAATATCATTCATGAAAATACGACATTAACTTGATCGAACACCATCGTTATGTAATAACTTTATCGTATATGTTGGTTTTCGATCGACACGTCGAATATTTGATATTGTTAATTCGTTAAGATTGCGACGATGCTTAAAAGCAACTCGATGTATATTATAGTCAAAAATGAAGTATTATAAAAAGAAGTTAGTCAAATGCAATATAGATTGCGACTTCATTTTCATGCTCATCATTAAATTAAATAATAATTTTAGAAAAGAAGCAGTTTATATCTGCAAATAAAAATTAATTATATATATATATATATATATGTATATGTTCGAATAACCAAACTTTCTAACAAAAATATTTAAGTATCGGTATAAAAATGTAAATTTTGTTATAATTAATTACAAAAAATTGTATCTTTTAATTTATAATCGTGGATAGTTAGAGAAAAATTAATTACTTACAAAGTCGCTTTTTATATTCTAAAACTCGCTGTTATGACTCAGGACAACGTCAAAATCGTCTTCCTACCATGTCGACATGACAATAACTGTTCTTAGCATAAATTATGTCTAATACTTAAAAGTGAATAAAACGAATCGAAATAAAATTGATAGCTTTAAAATATTTTTCATTGTTTTTTTTTGTTATATTGTTTTTATGTAATATTAATTAAGTATATATTTACTTCTTGAAATAATTTACTTCCTATTTTGACATTAATTACCGACCAATGGTAACAATTTAATTAACCTGTTTGCTATGCAATATTTACACTTGTAATGAAGAAATGACAATTTTATTTAAGCAACGAATGTAATTGTCATGCGAAGAAAATAATTACTATGAGCTATTCAAATTTAAATTTTATTAAAAACTGAAACATATTTGTATAATTCAGACATTTAAAAATTTAAAAAAAAAGAACTAACAAAATTGCATACGGCAAGAGATCGATGAAATATTTATAAAATTTTTAAATATATTTATTTATTTTTTATTTATTATATCTCGTCAAAATATTTTTTTCATTCTTGACGTAATAACTAATTTTGTTCAAAAAAACCAAAAGATAAAAGTGTTGCTCATTGTCAAAGGTATGTCCCTTATCTTAATATTAAATAATCATGCATCAAAAACAGATTACATTTCAAATTTATATTTTTTCAAATACCTATTTATTACTTTTTTTGGTTATTATGAATATTGAAATTTCATAAATAATATGTGCAAAGATATTACCGATTTTTCATAAGAGAACCAACTACTTTTTTTTTATTATTACTTAATTTAATTATGAAGTATATATATATAATCCGAATCTGCAACACAACACTATGTAAAAACTGAAAATGACTCTAAAATTATATAGGTATAAAAGGTTAAAATGACGTATTTTTTTACATATATGTATTTACAGGATATTATCTATGAGAAAACTTAAGGGAATAGAAAAAACAATGTCATTGTTTGAAGATCTGCTTTATATTTTTATTTTTCGATCAAATGTTATGGGACAGACATGCATAAAGGAAAAACTTGTACGTCCTATAAGCCAATGAAAATGTGTTTTTTAGGTACAGATTTAATATTCTTCAGCACCTTCTCCTTCACCTTCAGCAGAATCCATACCAACTTCTTCGTAATCTTTCTCGAGGGCAGCAAGATCCTCACGGGCTTCGGAGAACTCACCTTCTTCCATACCTTCACCAACGTACCAGTGAACGAATGCTCTCTTGGCGTACATAAGATCGAATTTATGATCGAGACGAGCCCATGCTTCAGCAATAGCCGTTGTGTTAGACAACATACAGACTGCACGTTGAACCTTAGCCAAATCTCCACCAGGTACGACCGTTGGTGGTTGGTAATTGATACCAACCTTGAACCCGGTTGGACACCAGTCAACGAATTGAATCGTGCGTTTAGTTTTGATGGTCGCAATAGCGGCATTTACATCCTTTGGTACGACATCACCTCTGTATAACATACAGCAGGCCATGTATTTTCCGTGTCGGGGATCGCACTTGACCATCTGATTGGCTGGTTCGAAGCAAGCATTAGTAATTTCTGCTACGCTTAATTGTTCATGGTACGCCTTTTCTGCAGATATGACTGGTGCATAAGTTACCAGTGGGAAATGAATTCTTGGATAAGGTACCAAGTTAGTTTGGAATTCGGTTAAATCGACGTTAAGAGCACCATCGAATCGTAAGGATGCAGTGATCGAAGAAACGATCTGACCAATCAAACGATTCAAATTGGTGTATGTTGGTCTCTCGATATCCAAGTTACGACGACAAATATCATAAATAGCTTCGTTGTCAACCATAAATGCGCAGTCGGAATGTTCAAGCGTGGTATGCGTAGTTAAGATAGAGTTGTATGGTTCAACCACAGCAGTAGAGACTTGTGGAGCTGGATAGATAGCAAATTCTAATTTCGATTTCTTTCCATAGTCTACAGACAATCTTTCCATTAAGAGAGATGTGAATCCTGATCCAGTGCCACCTCCGAATGAGTGGAAGATGAGAAAACCTTGTAATCCAGTACATTGATCTGCTAATTTTCGGATACGGTCCAGAACGAGATCAACGATTTCCTTGCCAATAGTGTAGTGACCACGAGCATAATTATTAGCTGCATCTTCCTTGCCCGTGATCAATTGTTCTGGATGGAATAGCTGACGGTATGTTCCAGTGCGAACCTCATCTAGAATTGGATAATGATATAAGTTAAAGAAAAAAATTTAATACGAATTTATATAAAAATAAGACAATAGAATGACAAAATAAAAAAATAAAATTATAATAAATTAATACTAACCAACAACAGTAGGTTCCAAATCAATGAAAACTGCTCGAGGTACATGTTTGCCTGCACCGGTTTCACTGAAGAAGGTATTGAAGCTGTCATCGCCACCTCCAATAGTTTTATCGGAGGGCATTTGACCATCAGGTTGAATTCCATGTTCTAGGCAATACAGCTCCCAGCAAGCATTACCAATCTGTACTCCAGCTTGTCCAACGTGGATTGAGATACATTCACGCTAAAGAAACATTACAAATTTTAGTAACTTCATAATGCATAATTATTCTATAGTATTACCAGTAAATCTATCAACTAATTATGTATATTTATTTCTACTGTAGTCAGTCAAATGATTAATTTATAACAAAGTTAATATTTTTTACAATTGAATGCAAATAATAAATTGAATAATAGCAGTAATAAATAAAATGAAATTTTTAGATAAGGATCAAATAATATTTATAATTCTAATTGTCGTAAAGCCGAATGAAAAATAGTAATAAAAAGAAAAAAAATTCCAATTAAAAATATTTAAAAGTTATTTGATTGACTATAATAATTTTTGAAAACTATTTGATCATAGAAGTTACATTTAAATATTCAAAATGAATGGACTGAGAACCACTGAAACGAATGAAGGATTCATAATGGACGCCACGAAAATGAGTCATCATTAAACGGAAGTACTAAAATATACCATGCGGAAAATTAAAAAAAAATATATTTAAACAAGTTTATTTTAATTCTCAATAATTTTTAAGTTTTAAAACATAGAGAAATAATTCATAAAATAATATGTTGTCTATAAATGCAATAAAATATGATAGATAAGTTATAAACATATTAAAAAAAAAAAAACCGATAATTCTTTAACGACATATAAAATTATTTCATGAAATAGTACAAAGCTTTGAGAAAATTAAACAAAGGATCATAAAAGTCAGTAATTAGAGATGACAAAGGGCGGTGCCGGCCGGCAAGTAACAAAATGGCTACCGAACATTTTTCTAGAACACTTCATGACGCGACACGATTAATGACGTTAATCTCTCCAATTAAATAAAATCACTAGATATGAGGAGTTAACTTACCATTTTGAGATTTTATACGGTTTTCTTCTATTACGAGAAAACGATTTGGTCGGTCGATAGTTTGCGAAAGCAAGTAATGGAGCCTCAGCCAACAACTACACGACAACCACCGTTGAATACTCTACGAATAATGCGCGAGGATGCGCTGCTGCGTATTTATATACCTTCTACGATCAACCGTTACGGCGCATGCTGATTGGTTGTTTCTATCATCATCTTTTCTTGTGATTGGTCAAAACTCGACCGCAATACGCAACATGCCGCGTTACTAAACGGAAAATATAGTGCGACAAAATATAATTCATAAATGTTTATTTATTGACATTATTTAAAAGCGGCTAATTTATAAAATATACGGCAGGCTAATTAATTGTCAGTCTAATTATCTAATCTCTCTTTAAAATTAGCAATTTTTATATTTATTGTGTGTTGCCAATGGAAGTAAATTATATTTATTCTGAAAACGGTTTTCGCCATATTTGGAATGTACTACGTTGGCGAACGAAGCAACGGGTGATAATATGCTTGTGTGACACACATACACATACATTTCACGTCTTGTTTGATGAGAAATCGTATAGGAACCCTCAATATTGATTTTTCAAAAATAGACGCATTCAATGGCCATGCCAGTTCGTTAGATGTATAACATATATATGTATATATGATATTTGTTAATAAAGGAATAATCCTACATGCATATACACGCCTTCTTTTTTCTTTTTCTTATAGACTTATTTGTGCGTATTAAGAAGTATGACTCATTGTCAGATATATTTTCAGCAGAACTTTCATCTTATAATTACATTAATTATACCTCCTAAAGTTTCATATTCTGTATTTATGAACACATTATATCAGTTATTAAGAGCATACAAAACGTATACATTTGTTTAAAACATGGGCACAAGCATACAATACAACGGGAAAATATGGGCGTATGCCGAACTCACCGAAGTGTGCAGACTGCACATGTATTGATCGGCCGTGCATGACGTTCCCTTTTTCGCATACACTCCTACATAAAAATCCTTGATAGAAAGCTTTTAACAGCTTCTAAGATATTCGCTAGATAACAAATTGTTAAAAATCTTGTATGATACAAAAAAAAAAACGAAAAAAGAAAGGATAAGTAAAGCGAATGTTATGAATGATAAAAAACAATTTTTGAAGATAATATATAAAATATCATTAACTGTCAATAGACTTTATATACGACAATAAGAAAAAATTATTGTCAAATATAGCACAATACTACATGCAATACGATTAACAGCGAATATAGAATTAATATTCATCATTGCCTTCTAGATTATCATCAACGGTATCCATACCAACCTCCTCATAGTCTTTTTCTAAAGCAGCGAGATCTTCGCGTGCTTCAGAAAATTCACCTTCCTCCATACCTTCTCCGACGTACCAATGAACGAACGCTCTTTTGGCATACATCAGATCAAATTTATGGTCTAATCGTGCCCATGCTTCGGCAATAGCCGTTGTATTAGATAACATGCAGACTGCACGCTGCACCTTGGCCAAATCACCGCCGGGTACGACCGTGGGAGGCTGATAATTTATACCTACTTTAAAGCCTGTAGGGCACCAATCAACAAACTGTATACTACGTTTGGTTTTTATA